CATCCTCTACAGCATCCCCCCGGCCCAGCTGCAGCCCGGGGAGGGGGCTCCCCCGCGGGACAGACCCTCCTGGGCACCCAAGAAGCCCCTGACCAAGTCCCAAAGCCTGGGGGAGCCGCTGGCCCGAAGCAGCCCCCAGAGAGCCCCCCCAGCCAGCCTGAAGGAGCTGACATTTGGGACAGCAGACGGGGAGCTGGGGCAGCTCCTGGAGGGCCCGGCTGGGGTCTGTGGGGTGGTTTTGGGGTGCCAGGAGGCCTCCCTGGCCCGGCTCTCGGCTCTCATGCAGGAAAAGCTGGTGGGGCCCGAGGAGAGGCAGCAGCTGCTGGAGGCAGAGCTGGTGGGGAAGCGCTGGGCAGCGCTCAGTGTCCTGGACCCCCAGCCCTGCTGCCAGAGCGGGGACGCCTGGTACTTCAGGGTGGGCTTCACCTTCGAGCACAGCCAGCTGCAGTTTGCAGCCAAGGTAAGGGGGGAATCGGGGTGAGAGGCCTGGGTGGAGCAGAGGGAGCCAGGAGACCCAGGAGCGTTGGCTTTTCCACGGAACACGACACTGGGGCCACTTCCCCTTCCTGCAGCCACTTCTGCATTTGCTGGATGACACGGTGCTGGCAGGGCATGGGTGATGAGGGTGACAGTTCCCCTGGGGTCAAGGGACACGTCAAAATCGGCCCTTCTGGGGGACATGTCCTGCCGACTCAGCCAGAGGGGCCAGCACGTGCAAAGGAGAGGCTGGAGCAGAGCTGGCTGCCCAGGAGAGCCCAGCCCATCTGGGGGCTGCCCCACCCCTCATGTCCCAGCTCTTGCTCAAAGCCATCCTGGCTCCACTCCGGGGTTCAGAGGGTGCAGGGGGACCCCAGCGCCATGTGTGGGTCACAGCAGGGCTGGTGGCCCTGAGCTGGCAGGGTGGCCCAGCGCAGATCAAGGCTCTGTCCTTGCACAGCTGGCCCTGTCCTGTGTGTCCCTGCAGGTCCCCAAGCCGTGCTGCTCCAGCCTGGGGGTGCAGAGCTCCCTGGGGACACACTGCAGCATCCAGCGCCTGCTCGGCCGCTTCACCGACCACCTCCCTCGGGAGCTGGTGCTCCCAGGAATCCCTGGAACACAGAGGCAGGGCCCTTCCAGAGAGGAAGCAGCCTATTCTGCCCCCCAGCCCGTCCTGCAGGTGCTCCTTTGTGCCGAGGTTCCTCAGCAGACCCTGGCAGATTTTGTGAAGGGCTCCCACGCTCTGCACAGGACCAGCCCTGGGCACTACGAGCGCCTGAGCTGCCTCCTCCTCCTGCAGCTCTGCATGGGGCTGGAGCACCTCCGGGGACAGAACGTGGCCCAGGGGGACCTGTGCCCCGAGAACCTGCTGCTGGTGCAGTGCCCATGTCCCCCCCAGAGCCAGAAGGAGCCGCTGGGACTGTCCCTCCCACGGCTGCTCATCAGCAGCTTCTTCAAGGTGCAAGAGAAGCAAAGACCCTGTTCCAGCAGCCAGGAGCAGGACTGGAGCCAGGCTCTCTCTGCACCCTCCCCTCCAGCAGCAGCTGAGCTGAACGTGTGCAGGCTGATCTATCAGATCTTGCACGTGGACATCTCCCTGGAGAACATTTTGGGCTTCAGAAGCAAAAGGGTTCCCGAAATCCCCTCGCTGTCCATCTACTCGGCGGGACTGAAGCGCTTGGCCACGCTGCTCCTGCACAGGGAGCCTCAGCAGAGGGTGTCCATCCAGCAGGCCAGGGGCATCCTGCAGGTGCTGCTCTGGGGGCCACGCCAGGAGCTCTTTGCCAGGAGCAGGAAGAGCCTCGAGCTGCTCCGGAGCTGGCTGCAGGTCAAGAGGGCTCTGCTGCTCCTGAGGTTTGCAGAGAACTCAGCTGGGGCCAGGGTCAGCCCCAGCCTGGAGGAGTGGCTGTGCTGCCTGTACTTCCAGGGGGTCACTGAACACACGCTTTACGAGGTCACCGAGGTTCTCTATGCTCCCTAAACCAAGCCCCAGTACAGCCTACCCAAAGGTCTCCTCAAAGCCAAGAGCTCACAAGTGCCTGGCCAAACCTGTCCCTGCCCATGGCAGGGGAGTTGTAACGAAATTATTTTTAGGGTCCTTTCATAGAATCATTCCGTGATTCTATGAAATCCACGAGTTCCTAAGAAATCCCAGCAGGTCTTTGCTGGGAAAGCTCTACAAACCTAAACCCACTCCCCCCTTAGGCCATGGATGATGACGTGTGTAAAACCACTAAGTGTGGGTTTATACCCTCAGACAATTTTTGCTTGATACTCTAAGTCTGGTTTATCAGAACTGGAGAAAGGCAGCTGGATGGGAACCCCAGGCACCAATTTAGTGGCTGATAATCCCAAGTTTATGGGGTTCAGAATTTGAACAAAACCTCCTCAGAGCGTTTTTGCAGCCACCAGGTTTTTGCTGTTTTAAATAATACTCTAAACCACCCATCACAGCAGAGGAGAAACAACAGCTCCTTCAGCCTGTGCTTCCCAGAGACAATTTGTGGCACAGTCACTAATAAATACGACATTTTAAAGGGAAAAATACAGCTTCAATAAAACCTGGAGCTGAGCCTCTCAAACCCTGGTCCTTTATGTGCTTCTCTGCCAGCATTACACAGTGCAGGGATGGCTCCAGAGGGGAACACAAAGGCAAACTGCCCTTCCTGGTGGTGATTACCCAGGACAGCCTCCATGGGCTCTGGTGAACAGCTCAGGTGAGTTCATGGGCACCAAGGCAGGGCTGTGGCATCTGCTCCTTGCTGTGAAACACCTTGCAGCACATGGGACTTGGACTCAGTCCCCAAATCCACACGGATGTCGAGGGAGCAGCATGGTGAAGGTCATTTCAATTATTCCTCAGCAATTACTAATCCACTCACAGCCACCCAGGCTGGGTATCAGGAGAAATTCCTTCACTGAAAGAGTGATCAGGCATCAGCACAGGGCAGTGCTGGAGTCACCATCCCTGGAAATGTTCCAGCAGTGTGTGGTGTGGCACTTGGGGACATGGTTTAGTGTGATGGGGTGATGGTTGGACTCGATGGTCTTAGGAGGCTGAACAGTTCCATGATTCAGTGACTCCATCACCTGCCAGCAGCAGGGCTGTGCACACAGTGGGACAGAGCTTCCCCAAGTCTGCTGTGCCCACGGGACAGTCAGCAGAGCCTGGGGCATTGCTGGAGTGGGGAGGATTCCTCCTAGGAGTCCCTGAGCTCCAAGAAACAAAAACAAACCAGAGCTGGGACCCTGCAGGGAGCAGCTCAGTCCCAGCTCCAGGGTTGGTTTGCTCCCACTGGAGCAGCACCCAAATGTCCCAGTGCAGTCTCCCTGCCCAGGCTGGAGCCCATCAACCCTGGCACGGGCACTGCCAGGCACAGAGATGGGGCTCAGATCTCATTGCAGGCGCCCCGGGAGAGCCCAGCCCTGCTGTCCCAGGCTCTCCTGCAGTGTTTGCCGTGGCTCCCAGAGGGCAGTAAAGGCCACGGCACAGCCCCTCATCCCGGGGAGACAAAGCCAAACCCGCTCCCGTGGCTCCTGCCCAGCCCCAGGCCGGCAGCTCCAAGGATCCACAGCCCCCCAGTTCTGGTTTCCAGCGTGGGTGACCCCCTCCCCTTCTGCAAGGAGCATCCAAAGTCACCAAAACATCCCTTGGAGGCAGGACCAGGCACATTGCACACTCCTGTCCCTGTGGAGAGCAGAACGTGGCACAGGTACCACATCACAGAGGAGAACAGGGATTTTTCCAGATAACCAGAGCAGAAGTTCTGCCCTGCGCCAGCCTGTTGAGCAAAACAAGGACACCTTCCCTTGGTCATGCCACCACCAAGAAATCCCAGAATATCCTGAGTGGGGAGGGACCCTTAGGGATCATCAGCCCAGCCCCTGTCCCTGCCCAGACCCCCCAACAGCCCCACCCTGAGCAGCCCTGAGAGCGCTGTCCAAACGCTCCTGCAGCTCTGGCAGCCTCGGGGCCGGGACCATTCCCTGGGGAGCCTGGGCAGTGCCAGCACCCTCGGGGGGAAGAACCTTTCCCTGAGCTCCATGCCAAACTTCCCCCAGCTCAGCTTCGTGCAGTTTCCCAGAGCCCTGTCACTGTCCTTCCAAAAAATCCGTCCAGGATGAGCACAAATGTAGGGCCAAGAGAGAATTGGGAAGAGCCAATTAACGAGCCCAGCAAGAGCCCCCAGTTTGCACCACACCACTGCTCACACAGCCCCAGGTTACTCTGTGCTGCATCTCCACGGAGTTCCAGGGGCTCTTTCAGTGTATTCCATGGGATTCTAACACTGCTGAGCCCAGGGATGGGCTGTGGGGGAAACTTTAGGGCCTTACTCATACATTTCACAGCACTCAGAGAACCTGGTGAAATAAACCCATGCCAGGGGTTTCCTGCTCCAAGGTCTTATAGAGGAAAGATTCATCAGCTCCAATAGTGCCAAACAGGCCTGCAAGCACTGAAAAACATGGAAATCATACACCTTAAAGCTCAGCCCCTTTGGAGACTTGCTGTAACTTCAGTTCAAGGTTGTTAATTCCAGCATTACAAGGAGCCCCTCTGCCCTTCTGCTCACCATCCTGAACACCAAGGGGTGTCTGTGGAGCCCCAGCACAGCCCCCTCCTCACCCTTCAACCACAAACCCCAAGAAACCTGCCCAGCCTCAATGACATTGAGCTGCAGGAGTGCCACAAACCTTCCCAGCTCACAGCCAGAATTCCTGGAGTCACCTACACACACTGGAAAGGCTGCGCTGTTAGGGAAACACTGAAATTCCAGGTATTTAAGTTGCATATTTGGTATTTAAAGCAGCCATGGGTTGAGCTGATCACATTCCACTTGAGGCTTCCCAACCAAATCACACCCTGGATATCCTACAAAACATTGGCAGAGTAGGCAACCACTGGTCCTAATTAGCACGCCTGCTAATTACTCACTAAAAGTAGACCTTTCCAGGATTGCTGGATTATTCCAAGCCCTGTCAGAGCACACCCACGAGTTCCAGTCAAGCAAAGAACAAGCAAAGCCTTTCCACACCTGCAACTTTTAATGGTTGGGGCAGTTCCAGAGCCACCTCTTCAAGAGTGCAAGTCTTTAAACAGCTTAAAACCAGCAATAAAAAGTAAAATATAAATTTTTATTTAGAATTAAAGCAAATACTTCAGTATCACAAACACAATATTAAACTTCAAGAAATATACTGCTAAATTTGGAGGGAGCATTTATTTTTGCACAACCACAACATGCGCACAAAATCCAGAGAAAGATGTGGAGTCTGAAATTTTCAACATCTCACCACCAAAGCAGCTGGGTCACACAAGGTTTCGTACAGGAGTTAAGATAGACTGGAATAAGATGTTGACAAAATTTCTACAGAATCATCTTTATAGACAACAAGAAAGCTCTAAAGAGGCAAACATTGCAATCTAGTCTTCTTCTGCTGAGTCTCTCTCAAACGTGTAGGCCATGAAGCAAGCATCTGGTCTCTTGGGGACAAGGGGATGCCCTGGTCTCACAATCTCAAAGCCCAAAAAGCTGAAAGTACGGAGCAGTGCAGCTAGAAAATAAAGCAGGAGACAGGTTTCACCCACGGGATACTGAAAAAAAACCTTTAAATTTCCACCAAAAGGTATTTTGTGTCTCTGGAGGCGCAGGGAACACCCACCTCTGTCATCTCTGTTCTTGTGGAAACAGATGAACACATGCTCAACTCGGAGCTGTTCTTCAGCAAACTCGAGAAGAACTGCAAAACTGCAAGAGAAACACCAGGGGCTCAGTGCCTGTGGAACAGGGAATGTCCTGGGATGGGAGGGGGACCACAGGGATCAGCCAGGCCAACCCCTGGCCCTGCACAGGTACCTCAACAACCCCACCCTGAGCATTGTCTGAACAATCCCAGAGTTCTTGCAGCAAGTGCTTCTTCAGAGGGAGTTAGCAAGGTCCTGAGAGCCAATCCACACAGGAATTCCTAGGGGAGGCTGGAGCCTCACACCTCCAGATCCCTGAACCCCAGGCAGAACTCAAGGGCAGACTCCTCAGTGGCACAGAAAAAGCTGAAGGAGCTGCAGTGACGGACTGGAAGCAGCCTGGAAATCTCAGACTCTGGGCTGGTCCTCCCTGAGACCAGGCTCACAAGAGAGCCTCAAGAACTGAAACTAAACATTCAAACTACAAAGAGCAAAGTGTTCTCCCACTGCCCTGAGAGACCTCGTGCTAACCCACAGCCAAGTTTTCCCTGACCCACCTGTCCTTGCTCCCCTCAGGCAGAGCACCACTGGGAATTTCAATGTAGAGGTTGTTGTTGTTCAGCACTGCTCTCCAACTGATGTGTTTGGCATCTGTAAGCCTTGACTGGACATTGAGAATTCTTGTCCTGTTGTTAGGTGTTAGTTCTTCTGTGACATTCAGCCGATTATCCTGCAGCAGGGAGAAGGGCAGAATTATTTTCCTGTTCATTTCCAGAGGAGGGAGTGAGGCAGGGAATGCTGCCAAGCTCACCACGAGCTGTTTGCACCTCGTACTCACCGAATAAAATAAATTAGCTGAAAGATTGTGATCCCTCTGACTATTCCCTCGCCCACCTGGGATCTTCAGGGGTGGGTGAGGGACATCAGGAGCACCACCGAGGCCCCGGACCCAGGTTACTACAGCAATTGAAGGGAACCCTGGAACTGCAAAGGGAGCATGGTTACACAGGCAGGAAGGCTTGGACAAAGCCCTGGGACTCGCAGGATTTAAAGAGTGTTAAAAAAACCAAACCTAGGCCAAAGGACTCCTCCCACTGCAAGAGGGAGGACAAAGGAAGCTCCACACCAGGGACACTGCCCAAGGAGCTGCCACTGCAGTATTTTGAGTGAAAACTCAGGTTGAGTGAGCCAGGTGTGTTTCTGTGCCAGGGCAGGCCTGCTCTGACCTCAGGAGAAGCAGCTTTCTGTAGGAATGTGCTTTTTCCTGCCCTCCTTGCTCTGAGGCAGCACAAACCCCCAGCCCAGCAAGGCAGGGATCACTTTTCCCTGGGGTATTTCCCAGACCTTCCCAGGGAATCATCTCCACCTCCAGTGTGGCCGAGGCCACACCTGAAACTCTGCAAAACCTCCAAAAACACCTCCAAACCTCTTTCCACTGAACTCCTCAGAGCGATTCCACAACGCTCAGCACTCGAGGAGAAAAATCTCGTATTTTTGAAGATTCGAGGAAGATTTTTAAGTTTCTCCCCATCCTTCCCAAGGCTGTTTCACTCCTCCCGAGGCAGAGCAGCGCTGGCCCCTCCCTCTGCACCATCCTTCACCCGCAGGCTCCACTCTTGAGTTGCGTCATCTCAGCAGATGCAGCAATCGAGGCCCTTGGGGGAATTTTCACAATCGTCCTGTCTCCGGGTGCCAGCAGCAGCCACTGCAGCCATTTGCAAATCCGAATAAACAGCTACAAAATAATCCACCATTTTGCACCCGAGTTGCGGGGTTTGGATTGGTTTGGGGTTTTTGTTTGGTTGTTTTTTTGGCAATTTTTTTTAATGATCTTGAAACTTGTGATGAATAATCCTTATTAGAAAGGCTGGGAATGGGCAGAGAGATTAAATATTACGTGCTGGAAAGTAAATTATATTTTAATATGAAGCAAGGGTAACAACTGCGAAGTTTTATTAAAAAATACAAAATCTGCGCTAACTGAATGCATTATTTTAATTAAATGAGTATCCAACCCATTATTTTAAGCTCTTTGAAAGGCATATTTTTCTTTAGTACCAACATTATTTATTTTTATCTGAGAATGACTGTGAACTGTACGTCTTTGATTTCCCTTACAAATAAACCTTAAAAAACCTTTTCCAAAAGTGTGCTGTGGCAATATTCAATAATTTCACCTTTCTTCCCCAAAAAGGTGGTGCAGAAGGAAGGCTTGCAACTATAAATATGTTTTAGCGATATTTACATGCTCTTAGGGAGGAAAAAAAACAATCTTTATCCCGCAGTTAAACAGAAAAACGGTTAAAGAACTCCTTCCACAGTCCACACACGAGGTGGAAAGGGCAGATTGATGTCCCGAGCATCCACTGCTCCACGCCAGCCACCTTAATTCAGGTATTTTCTTTCTTCCTGTGGGGGGTATTTAATCTTTTCGGCTGCGTTTTTAACCAACAGCTCTCGTAACACTCTTACCCTCGATTAGTTTTGCGGAGTATCCACGGTTACGTAAGGGGATAACAGGCTCCAATCCTTCGATATCTTTCCTTAATTGCTGTTTTCCCCTCGGGTCCCCTCCAGCCCTGCCCGGAGCCTCTCCCAGCCCGGGGGTGCCCCTCCCAGGGCCGGGACAGCGCCGGGGCCTCAAAAATCACCTTTTTTTGTGTTTTTTCCACCCTCCCCGACCGCCTTTCCCCGTGCGGCGGGGCCAGGCCGCCCCTCCCCCGCTGGCCACGCAGCGTCCCCCGCCCCTCTCCGGCCACCAGGGAGGCGACAGCGAGGACGAGGAAGAGGAAGGAGGCAGCGAGGGCCCAGCGGTGCGAGGCTGAGGGAGGCCGCGCCGCCTCACCTGCTCTGTCCGGTACTGAGGCTCAGCACAGCGGGCATGATGGTGCTTTTATTCCCCTCTTTCTCTCTAGCGAAGCAGTGGCTGTTGAGTATCCGTTGCAGGGAGGATTTCACCATCCGGCCGCTCTGGTCCGAACCCCGAAACCCTCCGCCGCCTCCGCCCCCCGCTCCCCAGGCGCTGCTTACACAAAATGGCACCGCGGCCCCACCGCCTCCTTATATAGGCTTCCTCTGCCACGCCCCCAAAGAGACCACGCCCCTCAGCGCGCGCCACACCCTCGCGCGGGGGGACGGCTTCTATTGGGCAGTTTGGGTGTCTATTAGAATATCTCGCTTTCTATTGGCTGAGCGGAGCGCGGAGGGCGGGATATCGGCTAGGGATTGCCGCGCGGGAGGAGCGGGGGAGCGGCGCGTGATTGGCCGCGCGCGGCGCGGGCGGGCGGGGCCTGGCGGGGCAGCGGGCGGCGGGCGCCCCGCGAGCCCTCACTGCCCTCGGAGCCGCCGGTTCGAGTCCCGCGGCCGCGCCCCGCCCGGCTGAGGTAACCGGGGGGGCCGGGGGAGGAGCGCGGTGTGAGGGAGCACAGGGAGGGAGAGACGTGAGGAGTCATGGAAAAACACGGATGGATGCGTAGGGTGCAGCCCTGGGGCTGCAAGCGGCGGAGGGGCGGCCGCAGGACCGCCTGTGGGACGGCATCCCGCGCTCACGGAGCTGGGTGCTGAGGGAAACTTTGAATTAAAAACTAATAATAAACCCACCGCAAGTAGCGGGGAGGTTCCCTGAAAAGTCAGGGTGGGGGTTGTGAGCTGGTTTTGTCGGGGGTCCCCTCTGGCCTCGCTGTGGTTTATGGATTTATAGGGAAATAGGGATGGGGAGGAGTTGGTTTGTGGATTTGGAATGGAATAAGGATGGGAAAGAGCTGGTTAATGGATTTATAAAGGAACAGGGATGGGGAATAGTTAGGTCAAGGATTTATAGGGGAATAGGGATGGGTAACAGTTGGTTTATGGGTTTATAGTGGAAAAGGGATAAGGAATGGATGGTTTATGGATTGACATGGGAATAGGGTGGGGAATGGTTGATTCGTGGATTTCTAGTGAAATAGGGATGAGGACAGATTGGTTCATGGATTTATAGTGAAATAGGGAAGAGGAAGGGTTGGTTTATGGATTTATAAGGCAGTAGGCATGAGGAATGGGGAATTGATTTATTGGGGAATAGGGATGGGGAATGGTTGGATTGTGGATTTATAGGGGAATAGGGATGGGGAATGGTTGGATTGTGGATTTATAGGGGAATAGGGATGGGGAATAGTTGGATTGTGGCTTTATAGGGGAATAGGGATGGGGAATGGTTGGATTGTGGATTTATAGGGGAATAGGGATGGGGAATGGTTGGATTGTGGATTTATAGGGGAATAAGAATGGGGAACAGTTGGTTAATGGATCAGTCAGGGACTAGGGATAGGGAATGGTTGACGGTGATGATCTTTTAGGCTAAAAAGGATTTTTTGCTGTGCCTTCATGAAGAAGTGGGTAAAATCTGGTTATTTGCACAGCAGAAGTTGGGCTTATCCCTGTAAACCCATGCCCTCTGCTTTCCATCTCCTGCCAGGGGCTTGGAAATCCGAGGCTTGGGGATGTGGTTGGGTCTTTCTGCAGTCTCACGACAAGAACAGTCTGGAGGAAAGGATGGGAATTTGGAAACAGGACATCCCCACTGCTCTTCTGGATGGGACTGATGGAAACAGAGCTTCATGCCTTGGGGGTGAGGGTCAGTCTTCAAAATCCATCTTAAAGTAGAAAATGTGCACAAAAATAGGTCGTCATTCCCTTGGGTTTGGGAACTAAATCTTTGGTTGAGCTATTTCTGATGGTTTCAGCCTGAAAATCGAGGCAGAGGCACATCCAGGGCACATCCTGAGCTATGGATTTTATCCTGTATGGAAAGAGAGCTCAAAATAATGGTGCAAGTGATGGTGTTTGCAGGCAGGGATGCCTTGTAAGTTAAATGGGGAAAGGTGTTTCTAGAACAAAATAAAACTGCTAAAGAGACATTGTAATGGTTTAAAAAAATCATAGTTTTCCATTAAAAGAACTTGTAGATGGCTGCATTTCTTTTTTTCTTCATCAACTCGTGCCATAACACACCTGTTTTATTGCCTGCAGCTACCAGAGCTGCATTTGGTTACTTCTGAGGGACTTTTATTACTACCTTATTTTTATTTGCTTGAAAATATCCTCATCCAGGAGCTCTGAGCACAATGGATTGATCAGCTCCTCTTTGCAGAGGGGTCATTGTCTAAAATCTCCACCCACCTTTTGTGTCCCAAAACTGCTGGGATAACCCAGGATGGAACAAAATGTCAAATAATAAAGTGCCAAAATAAAAGAGTGTTTGCTCTCCTGCAGCTCAGAGGAGAAGGCTGGCCTGGCCAGCAGCCAGGGAAAAAATCTGGGAGTCCTGGAAAGTAAAAGGGATGAGAAGAAAGTCCTTTTCCTGCTGCAGGCATCTGCCCTTAGCTCCCAGAACACGACATAAACGGAGCTTGTGCTCACCTCACCCTCGAGGGTGATGATTTATGGAGGGGAAGCTCTTCTGTTTAATGCATTGCCCAGAGTCCAGCCTGAAACAATGGGATAGCTGCAATTCCGGAATATCCGGACCACACAGAACACAGCCGAGGGGATTTAGCAATTCCTGGTTTATGTGTTGTGTCAGGAAGGTTTTCCTGCTGGGCGCTGAAGGTGTCAGGGGGTGGAAGGGCCACATTAGCATTTGGTGACAGATTTCATTATTTCCAATAATGGCATTTATTATTCTTGTAATAATCCTGTAGTAACTTCTTATAACGGCTCTGTGTGAGTGGAATCAGCACTGCAGCTGTTTCCTCTTCCCTAAGAACTGGGAACAGCTTTGCCCTTCGAATCCCTGTCACCTCCATGGTCCATCACTCCATTTCACAGCTGAGTGCCTGGAGAGCTCCAGGAGCTCTGCAAAAGCCCAGCCAACCTGTGCTGGGTTTGTGTTAAACACCACGGGGGATTAGTTCCAGCTGCAGTTTTGCTGAGATAGCCCAACTTCCACTTTAGCACGGACACTGATTCAGAAATCCTCACACAGAAGCCTCTGACTCACAATTTCGGGATTAGGCTGAGGGATGTTGCCATCCCCAGCTGGTTTTTGCCATGACTGCCCCTCCTGTGGCAGGATAACTCTGCAGCAGTGTTGTTGCTCCAGCTGCATTCCATCACCTTCATCCCAAATCCTGTGCAGGTGTCCTCAAACACACAAAGTCCTCCTCATTCCATCTACCACAGCCTTCCCCTCTCCAACAAGTGCATTTCCAAGGACTCTCCCAGTCCCACAGCCAGGAGCTGGTGTCAGTTCTCAGCTGTTGAGGGATCTCTCCAGAGAGCCCCAGCAGGTCCCAGTTGCTCTGTGCTCTTACCCCAAGCAGGTCACAGCAACTGGGCTGCCTGAAACCTCCTGGGAAAGAATCTTGTACAGCCTGAGTTACTCAATAACCAGAGCAGTTACTGAGGAAAGGACAGAAGAACCAACAAACTGATCTCTGTTAGCGATCTAAGTTGAAATTGTTTCAGGCTGAGAAAAGCCAAGGTGTTGATTTTCCAAGATTCTCCTTTCTTAGTTTGTTTCCTTCTGCTTTTTACCCTCTTTTCACAAAAGAGGTCTCAAACAATAGCTCAACTCACCAGTCAGTGATTCTTTGTCAAGCTTTTATGGGTTTTACTTTGTGAAATAGACTGAAAGATGAATTTATGGCAGCACAGGAAGTAAAGCAGATTCAAAACTGTTGTTTTTATTAGAGCAAGAAATGGGTGTGGGATAAGTAACTGTCTTCCCTCTTCCCTGTGTTTTCAGGTGTGCAAGTGTTTGTGATCAGATTGCACAAGATCAGTGCTTAGAAAGATGTTCAGGAGCTGAAACACTCATAAATCTAAGGTTCTGAAATCCTGCACGTTGGAACCACAGCTCTGTAACATCATTTATTCCAAGAAGGAAAGATAAACCCTTCAGTCATTCAGGTGATTAAAGCAGGATTAAATCACGCAGCTGCGAAAACTGCTGCTTCTGCCTGGTTTTCTGCCACTGCTGGAGCTTAGGCTGCTCCTGCATCTGTGTTCTAGAGGAGCAGCAAAGCTCCAGGGAGGGGGAATGGGACAAAAATCCTTTGTGAGAGTAGCAGAAAGCCCTGTGTGTTTTGTGCTTTGCTGCCTCACGCTCTCAGGGCTCTCCTGGAAGGTGGAAATGGATGTTTGTGGCATTTAGCAGCATCAGGGGAATTCATCCTGCTTCAATTTGCTGACGAGGGAAGAACATGAGAGAAAAACATGAGCTCCCTTCCAAAGCATGTGCACTCCATGCATAGCAGTGCCCATTTAGTACCTCCCCCAAAATGGGAATAAAATATATTAATTTATTGATTTATTGAAGCAGGCTTTAAAATCAAGTAGATCTGATTGCCTTCTCTCTCTATTCCACTGCAAGAAAACTCTGCTTATTCTTTGTTTTGAGAGGTGTCTGGAGATGCAGACAAGCACCAAAACAGGACAGAGATGTCCATCAGGACATGTTTTCATAGAAATCATTGTCTGTGATGACTTCACCCTCTCATTTAGTCATGGAATAATTTAAATGTTCCTGTTGGTCAGCTCTCTGTGGAGACAAAAGACAGCAAAAGCTTGTGAGGCTTTATCAAAACACTGGAGAGTAATATTTCTACACTTATCAGACCTATATTTTATAAGTCTTAATAAAAAAAATGGCTCTTAAATCTGCCCCTCTCCTTCCTTAATACTCTGGTTCATCTCCTCACAGGTAACAGTTAAGTATCATTTATCTAATTTTAAATACTCCCCCACTAAATCACTCTTTAGTGTGTCAGAATCTATTCTGATCTTTGTGGGACAAGTAATTAGAACACCTTTTCTAGCTGGAAATTCTAGCTGAAAATTGTCATCCCTGTGAGAATGATTTCATTTGAAGGTCAGGTTTTCTGCAGACCCACTTGTGCTGGAAAGAGACTCTGCCAAATGAAGCCAAAATTTTTAGGTGTTTACCAGCACAGGGAAGAATTTGTTTTTCCAAGATCTTTGTGAGATACTGAACTAGAACAAAACAGTCATCAGGCCAACAAAAAAAGTCTGTGCTCTCACCAAGAAAAAAAAAAAAAAAAACACCAAACCTTTGGATCTCTGTTTTTCCACTTCAAAACAGCTGGCATGAAGAGAGATTGAATGCAGATGAGGTAATAGATGTTTAAAATGCTGTAAATTCTCATTTATCTGAATTAAGGGTGGAATCCGACATCACCTGGGCACCTGGGAAAGACTGAGTTGTTCTTTTTGAGTTTGCAGGATCCAATGGACCAGTTTCCACATAAAAATAATGTGGGGGGAGAGGGGGGAGGTTGAAGTGGGACCAGGAAATCAGCTGGAAAGGGCCTTGGCCAAGAGCAGGAGCCACAAGGAGGGCAGCACCCTATGATTTCTGGGAAGCGTGCTGGGGCACTTTGATGTTATGGTTCTGCAGTTTAGGGATAATGTTCCACACCACTGATTCCTGTATTGATTTTTCTCTGGCTGTTGCTGCCAGTTATGAACAAATGGCTCAGAGGAATTTGGAGGTGGTTGCAACACAATCGAGTGAAAGACGTTGCAACAGCCTCCCTTCCCCACCCCATTTTCTGTTTCGTTTCTGCTGGGCCAGAGGCAGCTCGGCTTCAACCCCTCTCTTGAGTTACCCAGAGGTGATGAATGTTGGATGATGCCCTTTTCTGAGATTTTTTCAGATTTTTCTGAGATTTTTCATGCCCTTTTCTTAGTTATCCAGAGATGGGGCATCTGAGAGGCGTTTTTAAAACTTTTATTCCATTTTCGGTCTCATTTGAAAGGTGAGACAATAGAGGTGTTATAATTCACAGCATCACAATGAGAACTTAACTATTTCCTAATTACACGAAGTGTTTCTTGGTCTATCTGCTACACCATGCTGTAAATGCCTTAAGGCCAGTCATCTAAAATTACCCTTTGTGGGTAAATTTCTTCATTCTAAGATTTTTTTACAAATCTGTTTCCCACATTGGAGCTCTGGTTCTTGCTGAGGAGTCACAGAGGGGAATTAATTCAGGGAGGGGGTGAAGCCTTGTCCCTCCTGTTTGCATGGAGGGGGCACTGGGGTCCTGAGCAAACCCTGTGCAAACCCTTCCACAATCGATCCCATCATAATCAGCATTTCAGCTTCCCTGGAATTCCTCCATGAACATTTTCCTTCCCCTCTCTTGCTTGCTGGAGCCTGTGTGGTGGATTTAGGAGTTTATTTTTTGTTTCCATTCCCCCCCTCTCAGAATCCAGCACCATCCCAGGTTTCCCAGCAGGACAATCCCCTTGCCCAGCCCGTGCTGGGAAGGGGAAGGGGATTGGGGCAGCCTGGCTTGTTTTCCTCCAGTTCCTCTTGTGCTTGGCTCAGGCAGCCTCAGGGATGAGGAAGCGCACGGTGCAGCTCTGCTTTTGTAACCCCTAATTTCGTTTGGAAATGTTATCCAAACAAACAGCTGCCAGCAGGATGAGCGTTAAGACCTGTGCAGAGGCTGCTCTGTCAGAGCTCAGAGTGAGCTTTGCCTGCTGGAACATCTCACCCAGCAGCTCATTAACGTGGAGATACTCAAAGGAGACTTCCTCCACCCCCCGCCCCCGATTAGATCCTGCCCGTGATAAGAGCATTAATGAGCATATTTTCCCATAAATAAAATGAGCAGGCCTGGAGGGCAGGGAAGGTTATTTTGCCTGGAATCAGTTCTGTCTCACGCTCACCCCTTGGAGAGTTGGGGCTGAGGGAAGCAGTTCACTCTGAGAGCCAGCCAGAGACCAACGGGCAATGTGATTTCTTCCACCTCTCTGTGCTCCACACTGCTTTATTTTGGGGATAATCCACGTGGATTCTGTCACTGGCCAGAAATCCCTGTGCTCGGGGCTAGGGCAGCCCTTGGGGTGCTGCAGGAGGAAGAGGAAGGTCCAACTTTGGTGAAAAGTTTATTTTGCCAGGCTGGTTTTTGGGCTGCAGGAGGGACAGGAAGGTGCAGCCTGGGGAAAGCTGCTTTGGCCGGGCTGTTTGTTGAGCTGCAGGCGGCCTCGTGCTCTCTGCATCCGTGTCTGAACCAATATTTACTCAGGGCTCTGTGTGCTGGGATTGTCAGCAATCCCTGCAGTGAGAGCAGGGCTGGAGCCTGCCCAGCTGAGCAGCTTCCCTTGTTTACATCTTTTTTAAAAACACTCCTGACTTCCAGTATGGGGAGAGGTGGCAGCGTGACAGGTCTGGTGAGCACGAGCCCTCCCTGCAGCAACCTGCCCACCCAGAGCCTCTGCAGCCAAAAATCCTCTCTGGAAGGGGGTGGGCAGCAGACCCTCAGCATGGACAGGCCTTGGCATCTCCCCAGGAAGTGACAAACCTCCTCTGGAAGTGACAAACCAAAGTCCAAAGACTTGGTGCTCCCTAAGGGACTGGCAGCAAACTGCCACCAAAGAAGCTCCCAGGCTGCCACCACACTCAGGAGTGGAGGCTTTGAAATGAAAGCAGCTCTAGTTCAGTGCCAGAATTTTCCAGTTTTATTTATGGAGCTGTTCTAGATACAGATTAACTTCCCCTGCCTCCTGTTGGCCATTAACTCTGGGAGAAGCTGAGGTTTGAAGGGTTCATTGCTCAAGGAGAGGGGTGAGCAGTGCAGTGTTTCACAGCCACGCTCCTGTGGTGCCTGTCCTGCTATTTCCAGAGGAACCAGACTTAGGGAGCTGTTTATTCCCATGTGTCCTGCTGTGTGTGTCACACACAGACACCCTGACTCCTCTTTGGGAGGGCAAAACCCCACTTCCAACAGAGCTGAGCACGTGCCCCGAGCTCTTAATGAGACCAGCAGATTTCCTGAGGTGCTGGAAGATAAAGAGGTGGCATAAGGAAGGTAAAGACCCTTGAAATTACTGCTCAGGCTTTGAGCTGTGACCTACTTAGTTTGATTTCCTGCTCATGGTGACTTTTGCCAGCTACATCAGTTGATGAGCTGAAAATCTCCCTCCTCAGAGCTGTATGGAAGACTGGGAATGGCTGTGAGTATTGGAAATAAACTGGACAGGAGCTGAGATTTCGTTGTGAAATCTGTTTTCTGGGGTATTTAGCACATTTCTGATTCCCCTTATGAATGTTTGTCTGGTTTTGGGTCAGAGTTTCCCTGTTGGATTGTCCAGTGAGTAAATCCTTCCAGATTCCAGTGGTGCTCTGCCTTTCCACTGCTTCCCTGCTCTTTTGTCCCACAGCACTTTCATTTCTCAGCTCTCAGTTCCTCCTTCCCCTCAACGTTCCTGTGTTTGTTTGGCTTCACACACAGCCTCATCCCCGGTCCAGAACCATGGACTGGGCACTCTCAGCCCATCTTCAGCCTTCAGCCTCGCTGGGCTCTTTAGGGAGGAAAATGTCACCAGGAATCCTTGAAGGAATGGGATGTGGAAGAAGCAATGGGAGTCAGCAGCTCAGGCCTTAGCAATGTGCCCAGGGCCACCACTCTGCAGCTCTGCTAAACCCAGGCTTGGGCTTGACATTAAACCTGATCTCTGCAGGGTGGATCCCACAGCATCCCTGGGGTCTCGGGTTTATTTTTTTTTTTTTGGTTGGTTGGTTTTTGGTTTTTTGGGGTTGTTTTTGTTTGTTTTGTGGGGTTTTTTTTGGTTTTTTGAGGTTGGAAGAGACCTTAAAGATCATGGAGTCCAACCTGAGACAGGGAGCCTAGGTTTGTGTGTTTAGGCTCTCCCTGTGGCACCCTGCCACCCCTTTGGAGCTGTCACCACCCTGTGTCCCTGGGGATTGGGAAGCTGAGGGTGGGAGAAGGCAGAGCTGAGGTGGGAGCTGATCTCACTCTGCTGCTCCCCCCCTTCTCTGTGGAAGATGGGCTGGGAGCAGTTCTGGAAAGTCTCCCTTGTAAACAATATTCCAAAGCAAAATGTTCCTTTCAACCTAAATTATCTGTCCTAATCCTACCTCAACTCTCCTTTTTTTTTTTTTTTTTTTTTTTTTTTTTT